GGCCCACAGGCCCAGGCCTCCTCCCCCGCCGCGCCTCCTAAGGCCGGCTCCGGGGGACCCTATTTAGTGTGACAACACTAATCCAGATACTTTTCGTTCCGAGCCACAGCCCCTCCGCCCCAGCCGGCTGTTTATGTAACCACTGCCACTGCACTGGACTTTCTGCTGTGATTCATTGGCTATTTTTAGACCTCCCAGCTTCCAGCGAGGAGGACCGACACAGGAGTAGTTGGGGGGGCGGAGGGCTCCGACATGTTTGGGAGCCAGAAAAGCCTTATCCTCTGGAGCAGGCTGTTTAGCAGCCATTAAAAATAATTGGTGGGTTTCCACCCCCGCCCCCAAGTTTGGTTAGTTCGTTTTCTTTATATGAGCCAATTTTTGCCCAGCAGGACGGGAAATGGGCTGAAAACGATCCTACTATAATATGCCATTATTTGCAGAGATAGACGACACTGTTCTTTCTTATTTTTGTCGGTGCTTGGGACCATTCAGCTAGAAAATTTATTTCAGTTTTTACTGTTTACCCCTTATCGTTTTTAGACACACATTCTTATAGCTTGGCTTTCGTGAAAAATAACATTTTTTACAGTTTATAAAATGCAATTAATTATATCTTATAAATTATAATTAATTACTCTGTAAGTCATGTAAGGAAAGGGGAGGGGAGCACTTAATCATCCAGGTCCCGATTCTAGGTGCTAAGGATAGAGCTATGGTGTGTTCATAAACAGCAGTGTGCAGTACTCCTTGCCTAAACTAGCTAATGAGGGCCCCGTTTGGCACTGTTCTACTACCCAGTGGGAGAAACAGAAAATATTGTTTTGCTGAGCCCAGGTGCCTTGGAGAGAACCCTGATATGGCACTGGCTAGAACTTTGCAGATGGGGTAAGAAAATTAGGAAAATGCCCTGGGGAGGCCAAAAGGATGGCCTGAACAAAGAGGAGATGAAATAGGAAGAGATAAATTTAGGTATAGAGTCTTTATTTTCATTTCTCGGGGCTGCCAAGGGCTCACAGCATGTATCCATCTTGTTACTGCTTAAGAAAAAGCAATGTCTGTTTACTGTGATACAGTAATTCACAGAGTACACACTGCACACCAGGAGTGATGGATATAGACTGACTAAGCACTTAAATTGACCCCCGTGGAAAATTGGAACTCTGCTTGAACTTATATTTTTGTTTCCCCAATTTAAAATCTAATCTTACATGCAGCATGGTATTTCATCTAATGCTGATGTGAATAGCATTGGAACTCAGTCTTTTAACACAATCTGAGCAACGAGTAAAGAAACAGTAGTCTTAAAAAAAGACTATTTAAAAAGATAGTAGTGGGCTGGTGGTATAGTGTAGTGGTAGAGTACTTACCTAAACAAAGCCCTGGGTTCCATCCTCAGAACTGGAAAAAAAATCAACAGCAGCAGCAACAACAAAAATTAGGTGGTTACTGCAAAATTTGTTTTTTGTTAAGATTTATTTATTATGTATAGTGTTCGGTCTGCATGTGTCCTTGCAGGCCAGAAGAGGGCACCAGATCTCATTACAGATGGTCCTGAGCCATCATATGTTTGCTGGGAATTGAACTCAGGACCTCTGGAAGAGCAGCCAGTGCTCTTAACCTCTGAACCATCTCTCCAGCCCCCCAATTTTTTTTTAATAAGAATTTGTTAAATTTTCTTTCCTTAAAAGAATTATATTGGGAGAAGAATTTTTAAAAAGGATTATAGGGGGCTGGAGAGATGGCTCAGAGGTTAAGAGCACTGCTTGTTCTTCCAAAGGTCCTGAGTTCAATTCCCAGCAACTACATGGTGGCTCACAGCCATCTGGAATGAGATCTGGTGCCGTCCTCTGGCCTGCAGGCAACATGCAGGCAGAACGCTGTACACATAATAAATAAATAAATAAATAAATAAATCTTAAAAAAAAAAAAAAAAGGATTGTGGAGGGAAAAAAGTGGGGGAAGGTCTGGAGAGATACTCAGCAGTTAAGTTTGAGTGTTGCCCTTGCAGAAGCTCAGGATTTGATTCTCACCACTAACTTGGCGGCTCACAACCCAAAATAACTCCGGTTCCAGGGGAACAGGTGCCCTCTTTTGGCTTCTGCAGGTCTAAGCATGCACGTGTGCACACACATACATGCTGGCAAAACATACATACACATAAAATGAAAGAAAACAAATTTTTAAAAGAAGAAAGAAAAGGGCGACTGAATGTGAGCCCGGAGAGCAGGCCAGTAAGCAGCATTCCTCCACAACCTTCTCATCAGCTCTGCTTGACTTCCTCCTGCCCTGGCTGCCCTTTGTGATAGACTGATTGTAAGCTGGAAGATGAAATAAACCTTTCCTTCCCTAAGTTTGGTCATGGTGTTTATCACAGCAAGAGAGCAAACTATGACAGGATCCAACTCAGGTCCTCATGCATTCTTGGCAAGCACTTTACTGACTGAGCTGTCTCTTTAGCCCTGAATGCATTTTTTAATCTATTGACTTGAACTCTCCGAGGACCTATATTTACTTTTCTTTTTATTTGTTTTGGTGCTGAGGATCCAACCCAGAGCTTTACAATGCCAGGGCAGCTCTCTGCCATGGAGTTATACTGCTGGCCTAGGAAGCTGTTTTTCTGTTTTGTTTTATTCTGTGTTTCTGTTTGCTTTTCTGACTTTCATTTAAGTAGAGTGGCCCAGTCAAGGGGGTGGGCATGAACACTAAATTCAGAAAGAGAGCTGCCAGGGAGGTTGGATTCAGCACTCATCAGCAAAAAGTGCTAGCAGAAGTTTCAGGAACAGAAAAGATATAACCCCAGGAGAGTTGATGAGTACTGAGAGAAGACAGCCAGACAGAACTCTGAAGAACACTCAAAATTCTAATGATGGAGAGAAAGTCTCTAAGGAACTTAAGGATGAATAACTGAGATCCAGTATGAGGAAAAGCAAATGAGCGGGAAGGGTTAGTAATGAGTTACTCACAGGCTCAAGAACAGCAGGATAGATAGGAAAGGACGAGAAGGTATGAGTTTAACCTTAAGGTTTTTGGGACTTTGGAAAGTTACAGTAAAGCTATGGAGATGGCGTGAGTCTTTCTCATTCCACCCATGCTGGCCTTGAGCTAGGCAGCCAAGGATGACCTTGAATTCTGGCCCTCCTGCCTCAGCTTCCCAAGTGTTGTGTTGTAGCCTTTTTGGGTTTGCGTCCCTCTAAATTTTCAACTCATCCTAGTCTAGTTTCCATTTATAATGCTCAAAGAATGCTTTAAAAATCCCTCTCTTACCAGACCTTCAACAGTTTTCTTCAATGTTACCAATTTCGTGGTTTCAAAATTATTTTCATTTGTTTGTTTGCTTTCCTTAAGTGGTAAGAAGATCAGTGTTGAGCTTGGGGCCTCTTTCTTCCACTTTGCTTAATTGGAGCTTTGTCATGTTCCTCAGTCCCACAGGGAGGGTTCTCTCATACTCTTGGACAATAAAAAGGTTCACTCCCTCTTACAGTTAACAACCTGTTGGGTCTGTTTCAGGATATTTGATCATACTGTGTGAAAATGTCTCTGTTTTACCTCACTTGCCTAAGGCACCCCCACACACACACAGACCCACAGGGTTTCTCTGTGTAGCTTTGTAGACCAGGCTGGCCTCGAATTCAGAGATCCATCTGCCTCAATATCCCAAGTGCTGGGGATTAAAGGCATACACCAAAACTGCCTGGCTGCCCCCCCCCCACCACCAATTTTTATTTTTATGCTCTTAAATTGTTTTAGAGAGGGACTCACAGGGTAGCCCATGCTGACTTGGAACAACAACCCTCCTGTCCCAGCTTCTCATGTGTGAGATTACAGGCTTGTTCCATTGCTCCCAACTGAATACTCCTCCCCACCAGACAGGGTTTCTCTGTGGCTTTGGAGGCTGTCCTGGAACTAGCTCTTGTAGACCAGGCTGGTCTCAAACTCACAGAGATCCTCCTGCCTCTACCTCCTGAGTGCTGGAAATGAAAGACACCCCCCCCCACCAGGCCCAGGCCCCCAGGATTTCGGCCCAGGACCTCAGTGACCCCAATAACCAGGCAACCCCAATCACCAGGCAGAGGTCAAAGCTTGATGCAAACAGCAAGAGGTTTTATTACAGTTGTTTAACAAGCTAACCCCATGTTAGCTCGGGCCTTTCATCCATCCACCATGGCAGATGCCAGGGAAAAGGCTCTGAAAAGCCATGGGACCGAGATCTTATAGGGCAGTGTAAGGGGAGTGTCTAGGGGTACACACAGGCTCAGGATTGGTGTGCTTCCAGGCTTGGAGTACTTGCCCTGCGTTGATTGGTCAACTGGTTGTTATGGCCCATAGGCCCTCCCAGGGTGATTGCTATGCTCTGCAAGTCATTGCTGTGCACTTGTCCCCAGAGCCGTAAAGCATAGCACCACCAGCTAACCGCTGATTGGTTCCTTGCCACAAGGCAGGCATCTGACTTCCTAGTGATCAAGACAAGGTCAGACAAGCACATGTTAGGCTGTTATGGTTGCAGAAATGGGGAGCTGGTCCCTTCAGAATTAAAGGCGTGCGCCATCAATGCTGGCTTACTTTTCTTTTTCTTTTGAGATAGGCTCTCACTATGTATCTCTGGTTTGCCTCAAACTTGATACTTGAACCAGGCTGGACTTGAACACACAGAGATCCATCTGACCCTGCCTCTGGAATGCTGGGATTTAAAGAGTGAATTATTATGCATCGCCAAATTGACCTTTTTTTTTTTTTTTTTTGAGACAGGTTTTCTCTGTAGCCTTGGCTGTCCTGGAACTCACTTTGTAGACTAGGCTGGTCTCGAACTCACAGAGATCCACCCCTCTTTGCCTCCTGAGTGCTGGCATTAAAGGCGTGTGCAGAGTCTCGTGGCCAGGCACACTTTCTTTTTATTTATTTATTTATTTATTTATTTATTTGATTTTTCGAGACAGGGTTTCTCTGTGACTTTGGAGGCTGTCCTGGAACTAGCTCTAGTAGACCAGGCTGGTCTCGGACTCATAGAGATCCGCCTGTCTCTGCCTCCCGAGTGCTGGGATTAAAGGCGTGCACCACCACCGCCGGGCCAATTCCTTTTTAAAGAAAAAAATAAGTGCATGATTCCTGAGGAATGGACTCTAAGGGTTGACCTCTGACCTCCTTCTACGTGCATCTGAACGCACACTAACACTCGCACAACTCACACAAAAGGAAGGAAAATAAATTTCTGCCTGGGAGAGGTATCAATTTCCACACCACACATTTCCCATCCTCTGGTTTCCCACCCCCCCCCAAAAAAAAAAAAACAAAAACAAAAGAAATCCGGACAGAGTCAGGTAGAGGAGCTGGGGATTTAGCTCAGTGGTAGAGCGTTAAGTGTAAGGTCTTGGGTTACGTCCCCAGCTTCGAATGGGTGTGGGGACGCTGAGGGAGAAATGAAGCCCGGCAAAGAGGGCACGGACGACGGCGACGAGGAAAATGGAGTCTGAGCACGAACGCAGCTCTTGCTCATCTTGTTCCCCTCGCTGGAAGATGGCACCCTGAGCACCACGCGGACAAACGGACATGCTCTCCATTTCGGGGCAGTGTCAAAACCTCCAGAGCTAGTCCGCGGTCAGTCTCTGGACGCGAGGAAAGCCGACGGCCAAGGCGGTCAGCGCGCCTAAGGCTCGGCG